GAATTAAATCTGTTAACACCATACAATAGAACGGATGACGATGATGATGATGATGATGATGATGGATGGCGGCTTAACGTCCAGCGGCAAATTAAAATGCATATTCAGGACGAGAACATGTTAATGTAATATGAATATTTACCCTGCTTTGTACTAGACCGACATGCTGAGCCGGATCTTTAACGTGGTAGTTCACAAGGTAAAAGTCCGCAGGAAGACATTCCACCTTACCCGGACACATTATTCTGACTCCGAGTCGACCAGTCTTTGCTCTTACTCCGATTCTTAATGCTGCGTGCTTAGCGGAGAAGCAGCAAATACCAATTTTAAAGTCTTTGGTTTGACCCGGCCTGGGTTCGAACCCACGACATCCCGCACTCAAGGCGAACACGCTACCACGACAATAGAACGGAAGATATGTTTTTGCTGAGAAATGAGAAGTTGTAAAGTTGAAACCATCACGTTTATCATACATGTTAAATTGAAGTCGTTTATCTGTGTCAATACCAAGAAAAATGTCATGATCCATGGATGAATCAGAACCTTCTGGTTTGGGTAGTATATCTTTTATTTCAAGCTTATATGAGATGCAAAAACTAACTGAAATGTGGGTTATTGAGTGATAGGACATTATTAATATATCTAAAAGTGAAATGAAAGTACTTTGCAAGATGTATTTTCTTTTTTTTAGTCCTGAACCTGACGAAACGAAGCTATTATGTCACATTGAAACAGCACATATTATAATCAGTAAAGAGTTAAATGTTTCCAAACTAAATCAAAAAGTAAACGTTCATCTCTTCATCTAATGAAATACAAAGCAGAACAAAACTTTAAGAAGGAATGTTATAACCACATGTTATTAATAATGAAATGTTGATGGAAACGGGGGCATCGGCGACCATGTGGTCTAAGTAGTCAAACTACTGTATCACAAGCCTGTCAACACTGAGGTTTTTAGGTCGAATCAGGCATGTGGCAGGTGCGTTCTACTCTAATTTAATTGACTAGAATTGTCATTTTTCCTACCGAAGGTCGGTGGTACTCACCCGACTTCCTCCACCAAAAAATAAATCACTATGACCACCACGAAATAATCCAAACGTGCAGAAAGTGGTGTTAAACACCAATCAAACAATCAATCAATTGATGGAAACTTTTTCCTGTTGCCCTAGGTAACTATTATGCGGATACGAATGTGGTTTACAAAAGTTGGAAAGTATTTAGGTTTTCATGAAATTGTTAAATATTTTATTGGCGTGTTGTTTTTTTTTTCTTTTTCTTTTAGGTTTAACTTTGTTTGTAACAAGTGGCTATCACTTGATCATGAAGATGGAAACATAGAATGCGCCATTCCTGTCTCAGATAAATCTGACACTGAAACATTTTCGTTTAATTTCAATGAAAAGTCAAGAGAAAATATCACTGATAGTTATTTGTGGTTATCAGTACTCTTACGACCAGAATCGGGTGTATTTACAAGGGTTCAAAGACTGGCTTGCTGTCTGGCTTTGATATTTCTAACTATGATTACCAATGCTATGTTTTATGGACAAGATAACGGAAGTAAATTATCAATTGGACCTGTAAGCTTCTCTACAACAGGATTTTACATTTCGTTCATCAGCGTGGTGATTGCAGCACCCCCAATATTTCTAATAACATTCATGTTCAGGAATTCTAGACAAGGCTTGAAAAACAAAATTGAGAGAAACAAAGAAGAATATAAATCAACATCAGATCTTCGGTTTCCTTTTGCAGGTGTATTGATAGCATGGCTATTGATATTTATAGCGGTGTTACTCTCTGGATTTTTTCTCATATTATATAGTATGGAATGGGGAAAATCAAAATCGGAAGAATGGCTGTTATGTTTCTTTTTGTCGTTTTTTGAATCTATATTTCTGATAGACCCACTAAAAGTAAGTGGATCAATTATTTATATTACAGGTAGTGGCTAAATCTTTAATGTTTAAAAAAAACTCGTCAAAGAAACCAGGCTTAAAAATGAGAAATGCATCCGCTCGTACCGTTTAAATAAAATTTCTCGAAGTTGATCGAACCAAACCAGTTCGAATGCAAAATCAATAACGAAGTGCAAGAGGATTGAAATTGAGCATTTAAAATTCAACAACAAAAAAAGACCAGCTAAGTCAGGGATGAAGAAAACCTCAGTGTTTAGAATAACTTAAACATTTGATAAAGAGTTTTTTTTTCGAAAAATTACCGCATCTATTTCGATTGTATGTGTCAGTCCGAACGTTTTGACTACTGACACACATGTTTGTACAATTAATGTAACTAAAGTCAATGGTGAAAGGGAAATCGCATTTTGCACCAAACTCTGAGAATAACAAAAAAAAAACTTAAAGATTTGTAATTAAAAAAAAAAAAAAAAACACCGAGGAGGTAACTGTCTTTGTCTTACTTTTTTTTAAATTCAGTATGTCAGTATAGGACTTTTACATAATAATATTAGATACACCATTGTTGTCTAACAATATTTTTTATAAATGATTCATATTTGAGAGACAAAAAAAGAAAAAGAAAATAACTAGCTAGCACTCGAAATTCACAATTTCAATAAAATAGACTACACGATTGCCAAAAAAAAAAATAACGACAAATATATTACATAGGAAACCAAAAACAAGTCTAAACAAACCCCACAATAAACGGGGTACAGCTCAGGTGCTTTGAAACGGTAAGCACTTCCTGCTCCACATATGGCACCCGTCGTGTTGTTCAAGCAAGCACAATTCTGTTGATAAGTCTGTTTCGGTATTGTAAAAGTCGAGAAATATACCCCCAAAAGCAAAACATGTAAACTAATATGGAACAATGAATGTAAAAATCGATAAATATTTCAGATAGCAAGTATCATTCATTAGTATCATTAAGTATACGTGCTGATAAATGGCAACTACATAATCTCATTCATCCTGAACTACATATAAACAAACGATCGTTTGGCAAAAATAATAAACTATTGTGTTCTTTTATTTTGAAAGTAATACAAATTTACTATGCACTAACGATAGACGGACACAGTTAAACATCCTTAGGAAAAACAATAAATACAATAATAAAACATAAATAATGAAATACACGTACAAGAAAGGGGAACATAAAAAACTCAAACTCTAGGGAAGATCTCTCTAAACGATCCCAAAATGAGGGTATAGTTGATCGATTGTCAAAGTGCTTATGTTTCATGTTATACTATCATATATTATATTACTATGTGATGCAATGTTTCAAAATGAAACTTTAAAGCAGAAGCAATAACAAAAGAACTGACAAGTGCTTCAAAGGGTGCTTCAAAGGGTCGTATGCTAAGGGATTTTATTTGCTTTCTGGATATTGAGAATAAAATCTGAAAAAAGGAAAAGAAATATAAAGTATTTGTTTAAAATTGTCAATTTTAGGTAAACAAAGACATTGAAAATATAAAATGATGTTTATTTCAGATTATATTAATGTCCATCATCCTGTCATGGGTTGTTCAACCACGTAAAAGAAACGCCAACTATAATATAGACATGCTTCGGTCAGAAACAAAGAAACATTCCATATCGGCAGTGATGAATTGGGATTATAACGGTAAGTTCTTTTTTATAGAGAAACTTTTTCTTCGGAAAATACCTGTACCGAGTCAGGAATATGACAGTTGTTTTTCCGTTGTTCCGTTGGTTGATATATTTTTTAATTTAACTTGGATTGCGGTATTTTTGTATACAATAATTTTAATAGAAACGCTTACGTGATATCTATACAAGAGAAAACTGATGACAATGGTATCTTAATTTATTGGATCGATTCATTGAGATTATAATTGTAACCTACAAATAATAGGGAAATATAATTTGTTTTATATCAATTTATCTTTTTAAATCTCAAAAATGAAAATAGTTCGAAAAGACTGGACAGCTACACGAATCTTATTTCAGTTACTGATAAAGCTAAGTAACAGCAAAACAAAATATTGGTTATTTAGCACGGTGGCATTCGTTATAAATCTCAATTATAACGCTTCTGGGATGACCCTGTATGTTTTCATAATATGCATTTAGGTTAATATTTGAACAGTAAGAAAGATGCTTGCAAATTGAAATCTAATTGTTCTAAATAGATGTTAAATACTTTTAATTGTTTTTGCGATCGTTTTCGTTAATTTAACGACAGAGAGACATGTATCATACTCATGAAATTGACGTTAATCTATTGTACGTTCACCTTTGTTGGTATCTTTTTTTATAAATGTAATGGTATAATACCGAATTCGATGCATACAGTGTATGCTTCTGAACAAAAATAAATTTTTAGACTTGCTATTTCAAAAAAATCATATATAACAAAACTATTCTGATATTTTTTGAAAATTGAAGTTGAATTATTCTAGAAGTTTAATCGTTAATTCTATCTAATGCAGACGTCATTGAACCGGCTGTGAACCCTCTAAGACCGGAGCAAGTACAGAAACTGAGGAAGAAGCGTAAAATACTTATACAAAGCAAGAATGCTATTACGGAATTGATATTATATGTGCTATTTCTTGCCATTTTGTACGTTATCAGTTTTAGTAATAGAGATCCATTTTGGTATTATTCTAAGGAACATATTGATCAACAGATTATAACACAAACCAATGTTACAAACACAGGTGGACCAATCAAATTCAGTCAGGTAAGATTTGGCCGAATTCATTCCATCGTTTCTCAGTAGCATGTATGTAAATTAATGCTTTTCATGCATGAATTTGATGTAAATGTTCGTCAATAAATCAAAATGTTACCTTACCCGTGCTCTATCTCCATCAGTTTCTTTATCAAATATTAAATCAAGATAAGTATTAAATTGTACGGATACAAAAGAAAACAAAATGTATGGGCGTGGCTAGTTCATAAATGAATAAATGATAAACGCATGTGACTATCTTTGACATTTCTAAAACTTTACAGGTTTCGACAGGCGAACAGCTATTCGAATTTATCAGTTCTACCTTGCTACCATTCCTGTTTCCAAAACTCTCCATTAATAATGTTGGATTAAATGCATATGCAAGATTATTCACACAAGATCAAATTCATTTTAAAGTAGGACCAGTAAGACTAAGACAGCTACGAGTTAAAGAAGGTAAGTACCTCTTGTCAAAAGTGTGTAAAAACCTCTCTGATTTACTCATTTTGTGAAGACGAGCATTTCAAATGTAAAAAGTCAAATATCCAGTGTGAATAAATCTTAGAACCAACTAAAGATGATGGTTCAATCTCTATTTTGAGTATTTAAACAAAAAATAAAATGAAAAGCAGGCTATTAAAATCAGTTTTAAGTTTTAATAAAGTCTCTACACCCTTTTAGGTAGATTAAGATTGAGCCCATTCGTTCTGGGTGAATAAACGTTAGTAACATTAATTTTCATTACCCGAGATTGACAATTGCTTCAATTCTTGTTTTAGATTCTTGCCCTGAGTCCGTCCTGTTGAACATTACAACACTTTGTTATGAAAAATATTCGCTGATAGCGGAAGATGAAGACAGTTATTGTGTTGGATGGAAAAGTCCTCCCTGTGCAGCTGACGAATCGGCGTACCAAATATCGTCTGCTTCGTGGAAACACGTGTCATCTTCAGATATATGGGGTCTTCCAATCGCAGGAAAGCATGCACTTTACAGCGGAGGCGGATTTATAGCTGACATGTTTGTAAACTTGCAGATATCTAATCAAATGATAGAGGAATTATTGAAATATTCATGGATTGATCGCAAGACACGAGCTATTTTCATTGAATTTACACTGTTTAATGTAGATGAGAATGTGTTTATACATATAACTTTGCTAAGTGAGTTTCCAGAAACTGGAGGAGTATTAACTTCACATGTTATTAAACAGTTTAGACCTTATCAACATGTCGGCGGTGTAGGAATACTAACTTTTATAGGCGAAATTATAGCTGTTATTAGTATTTCCATATTTTTCGTAAAGAAGATCATCTATTTGCATCGTACTGGAAAGAAGTCATTACAGAATATTTGGAATATATTAGATATAGTGATCATTGCTCTTTTTTTCCTATGTACAATAACATATATTGGAAGATTGATAAATATAAGCCGTTCCATGGATAAATTTCAGAGAAACAAACTAAAATTTGTAAATTTCAGCCATATTGTATTATGGGATGACCTATTCAATATTTTCTTAGCATGTGATATATTTTTCATTACGCTGCGATTAATGAGAATACTGAATTTCAACAACAGAATAAACCATATGGGGTACATTTTCTCTCACGTGAGCAAGGACGTTTCAGGTTGTTTGTGCATGTTTGTGGTCGTACATCTAGCATTTGTCTGTTTTGGTTACCTTATCTTCGGACGACAATTAGAAACATATAAAAACATGTTTGTGGCTGCCACGACGCTAACAAATGCTATTATTGGTAAAAACACAATAAATGATTTGTTTGTCACAGAACCAATTCTTGGTCGCTTGTATTATTTCATGTTCGTGGTTTTTCTTTTATGGGTTATAATGACGATGCTGAACGCAACTTTAAATGTGGGAATATCTAAAGCGAAAAACAACTTTATAAAAAAATCTTCAGTCATTAATGCTAAACATATGTGGAACTTGGTTGCGGAAGCAATAGAAGTCTTCATACCATTCGACATACTGCGTAAGAAAAGAACAAACCTTCAACGATATAAGGTAACAAAGGATGCATCATTCATCACTGAAGAGATATATCAAGAAAAACGTGAACCGGTTATATATTTTGATAACTATTAGATTTATATAGTAGTGCATTTGAATTAAATAGTGAACTAATCTTCACTTCAAATGTTCAGTGCTTATCAAAATGATACTTTAATGGACTATAAAACCTGTATTTAAAATATTTGCATGTGAATACGATATATATCTTTTAAATTGTTTGGAGTACAGATGAGATTAAGTATATAAATAAAATGATGTTAAAAAGTTAAAACCTCTACGAACAACACGATCAATCAACACTTCCTCACAAAAAAGTACATTAAGAGCACCCTATTGTTATGGCCCACATTGTTCAAAACAGCACATATCATTGACACTTACATTGTAGGACTAAACTGCTTCATTGATAACATTTCGATATATATGGATGATGCCCTGTTACTCATAAACCCATATTTTAGTAAGTCCTTGCAACCACATTTTAGTATGTCCTTACAACCACATTTTAGTAAGTTACAACCACATTTTAGTAATTTACAAACACATTTTAGGAAGTCCTTGCAACCATATAACCCAATAAATTCCAGACTATGCTACTTATCTGAGATCACTCCTAGTTTTTGATGGGGTTCGTGTTGCTCAGTCTTTGGTTTTCAATGGTGTGTTTTGTGTTTTATGTGTTTGTCTTTTTTTTAGCCATGGCGTTGTCAGTTTATTTTCGACATGAGTTTGAATGTCCCTTTGGTATCCTTTGCTTCATTTTTACTGAAACTATAAGATCTGTTTCAAATAATAAACTTTACACAGATGGAAAACTTTATGCACAAATCAAATACAAACGTGATGATTTTAATTCTCCGACAAATAAATTTCATTTCTCAGCAGTAACATGTGACATACCCTCTGCTCCATTGCTTGGCGTTTACATGTCGCTTTTAATACGTTACTTTTTTGTCTTTAGTCATGGCCTTGACGTAAAAACTTCAATTATGAGATTTCAATGTTCCCTTGGTATCTTACGACTCTTTTTAATGCCTATAGATCCTCACACTTTGCCAACTTTATTAACAGCTTTTTCGACACAAAATTTGTTGCAATTGAGTTATGAGGAAGACCGACTGAAATCAACACTACATACGTTTTACGGTCCTCATCATAAATTGGTTGACATATTCGATGTGTTCGTTTCTCATTTACTATCAATGTATTTCGCGGTCTTACTTCTTCAGACACCAGAGTAGTCGGCCGACCTGTAAATTTACCAATTGTGTCTTAATCTTGATTGTGACATTTTGAGTACCGAGTGTTGTTCGAGTTACGCGTGTATAGCAGGAGACGTAAACCTTGTCAACGCACCGGATTTTGCTCCTTTTTCGAGTTTATGCAACTCCCTCGGTATTTTATTTTCGACCTTTTTTGTAACTTCTTAGTCGATTTATGAGATAAGAATATTGATAAACTACTCTTGCTTCTTATTTAAGAGAAAAAGCCCTGTCAGTGTCTTTGCCTGTTAATTTTTAAACAAAAATCTTCTATGAAACAACTAAGCCACATTTATCAAAAGATTAGTCACGATCATCATTGGGGTATTTAATTTTAATTTGTGTCCGATGATCCTGCTTGCCAACCGACTTGAATGACATGGTTAAAAAAAGAACATAGAGGTTACATGTAAGTTTTCTCTATTGTCCTGAAAACCGCTCAAGATAGGGAAAATCTGACAGAAGGCAATACAAGTTTAGAATTTTGAGATCTACATACTGTCTATTCACATTAAAACTGTCAAGTGACTTTCTAGAGGATTTATTGTTCTTTAATCACGAATTTACCAATTGTTAGCGTTTTTGTCTATTACATCTTGAAAACTATAATAGATAACGAGAAACTTTTGATAGTAAAAATGGTAAGCAAGATTAGATCTACAAATAAGTCATCATCAGTCGACAACCTATGGAATGTTTCCCTAATATCTTAAAAGCTATAATAGATAAATAGAAACTATAGTGATAATGATTATCATTATAACAGACAAAACTTGCATGTTACCCATATGTTCTTATTTTAGCCATGTCAGCCATGTTGGTTGGCAAGCTGGATCATCGGACATAACTGTGAAACTAGATACCCAAATGATGAATTAGGCCAAGTTGGATTCCAATTGGCCTAGTAGTTTCAGAGGGAAGATTTTTGTAAAAATTAACGGATGACAACAAACGACGGGCTCTAAGGGATGAGAATAGCTCACTTGACCATTCGTGTCCGTTGGTCATTGTATGATTCAAACTATATGTTAGGTGTACTGCTTGAGGTCAAGGACACATAATTGTTTCTCTTTTTAAAATTGATTTAACTGAGTCAATATAATTTTAAAAGACAATTGATATTTCATTTCTATTTTCTAAGGGAACCAATGATGTATAAAAATGCAGATCATCGACTTAGTTTTTACTGTAGAAGCCAACATAACGCATGACGTCGTTATGTTTTTATTTAACATATTTGATATATTTGATATAAAGTAAAGCGTTGCTATATCAGATGATGGATATTCAAAACGATCTTGTTGTCGCTTTGCAGTTTTTATACTTTTTTAATTCAAAATGTGTATATGTTACAGGCATTTTCTTAATTTAGGTGTTTTGTAAAAATGCCTGTAAACTTTAGGCATTTTTTTTAAATGCTTGTAAGATTTAGGCAATTTATATATTGAAAAAATTGTTCAGGGACCTAGAAGAAATGAAAGGCATTTTACAAAATGCCTGAACTATTTTATAAAATGATATTTACACAAACTCTGAGCCATTGAAAGTATAGAACAACACAACAGTTTTATCTATGATAATAAATGAATTTTAAAGCATGCATTTAAAACATTTAGTTGTCAAAAATTAATTCAGCTATATTATCTTAAAGTAGTTTCACTAAAACAACATATGACATTCATACAACTTTCCCAGTTGGTATTTGAAGTAAAATGTACAGTACCGTTAGGTATTTTCTTTGCAAGATATTGTGTTTTTGGTCATATCTCAATGATACTCTTGATTTCTACAAATTATCTGAAACTGAATAGGCAATTTGTTGAATTTTGTTTAAAAACTCCAGTCATTTTACAAAATGACTAGTAATTTTTAGTCATTTTATATAATGCCAGTCAAGGTTAGGCACTTTGTAAATTGCCTGAAAATTCAGTCATTTTACAAAATGCCTAAATTAATCCCTGTAACCTATACAGTGCATGTTTGGTTTTTTTTTTACATTTGTTTTGTTCACACTTACCATGCTTACGTTTAAACAAATGAAGATGTTCTTTATCCGAAAAAAAGTTATATGGAAAATCCAGTGTGTAAAATATACCCATAATATTAATGCAAGTAAATGAAATCCCTAATGTTAATTTGAATAAGAAGACTTTTTTTAAGTCCTAATGAAATGACGAGATGATGTATATGCAAATGAGGCAATTATCTACTATAGAAAAAACAGAACACCAATATGGATAACTACAGGCCACCGCCTTCAAAGATAAGCATAACCTTTATGTTTGTAAGCTGTGTGAGATAAATGAACGCAATAACATAAATTATGGAAAATCGCTCTTAGGATGTGATTCAACAGTGTGAAGTGATATTATTTTCTTGCAACTCTTAGTTTCTAAACAAACAGTTCAAAAGGACGTGTACCAATACCATGAGCTCTAGTTTGCTCATTGATTTTTAACTATTCTATTCTTGATTTTGTCATTTTGCATATTCAACTTCTTGTAATACAACTGGTGAAGGTGAAGTGAATTGGTGCAGTAACATTAAATGCGGAATGTGCTAATAAGCATATTCAACAGAAAATAAATGTGGTGCACCTTTTAGTCTTTTCTAGTTTACAAGAGAAAACAGATCACCAACAGGCATTATGTACATTTTATAAATAGTAGTGTCCATGAACAAATCCCAGCAAAACTTACAAATACGGGTAATTTTATTTCTTCTCCGTATATAGTTTCTATAACTACTTTCCAAGTCTCGCTGTGTATTAGTTATATGCATTTTATGCATTTTTAATCTTTATTGTTTTGTTAATGTAGGATTTGGCGATCCATATGTGTAGCATGTTTCGCTTTAAGTATATATATATATATATATTCACTTTACTTTCTTGAACTGTTCAAACCTGAATTGACCTTTGTTCGGTAGATTGTCCTGTGAAGCATTATAAAAATTTACACATCTACTAGTATATATTTGACAGGATTTCCCCAAAGTAAAGATCTGTGGTAATCAAATAGTCTACAACGAATTTCTATAATTTGATGATTCATATTCGACCAAGGCCGTACATCTTCATCAGGTACCCTAGCCTAATTTATTTTTACTTACTATAATATTCGATTATAATTCCTTTTTAATTACAATCAATATGTTTTCATCGTGTAACGTATCAAATGGAGTATCATTTTTGGGGCACTACACCTGGCGAATCTGCCATACACTGATGGTTTAGTGTCCATTCCTTATCTAACTACTTTATAATGTTGCCGAGGTCAAGTACTCCTTCATATTCTTGTGTTTACGATAATCAATTATAGGCGATCTGTAAAATAGATGTTTAGCGGTTGTGTCATCTTCAACCAAACGCCAGTGTTTTCTTATTCGTCTTTACAACTGCTTAAATAAAGGATTAAATTTCGTTTCTAGGACTAGTCGTGAACTTTTCTGTTTGTTTTTTCGTTTTATAACATAATGTATTTTGCCTTCTTTTTTGTAGTGATTTATTTAGTAGTGGATTAATTTCATTTTCCTTGTATCCCCCAAGTATAAGCTTGTGTTTGAATAGTTTGGTATATGTGTCGAGGTCATCTTTGTTATTACACGATCGAATGAACCGTTTAATTTCACCATTTATAAATCCTTTGAATACAGAGGCGAGATGAGGCGATGATTTATCTTAATATCGGTAGTTATCCATAGGTTTGCGATATCATTTGATATCTAATATTTTTCCGTTTTAAATCTATCGCCTTTAAATATTGTTACGTCCAAATATTGTATTTGATTATTAGAAATTTCATATATGAATTTTAACAATAGATTAATATTTTTTTGAAATTTGGTAAAATTCAATAACCGCTCTACTGCCGAAACTATATCCTTAATGCCTTTCGATTCCTGACTTTCAGTTTGAACATAATCATCATAATTATTTTTCACCCGCCACGTTCTGGGTTCGGACT